GATATACAATATTGACATGAAATATCATTATTAGATTAAGAAATATTAAAATTTATAATTTTAGTTAGTTGGAGAACAAGCTCCAGCTCTCTGTTTTCAAGTTCCAAAGCAGCTCCACCTCGAATCACATGCTATCAACATATGATTCCACACAATAAGTACCTAAGAATTGAGGAGGTGGTTGGGGGAGATGACATCAATATTGCAGATATCAGTAAAAGCTTTAATGATGACAGGATGTTGACAAGGTGAATTGAGCTCCAAGAAGCAATATAGAAGATGTTGAAGATCATCTTTGGCGTAGATTTCTTTTTCAAAGATCATTTGCAACATGGAGTGCCTAAAATCTTTATATGGGTCTTGAGAGTTCTTCACCATAGCAATGCTTTTTATCATTATAAGAGCTTTTGGACACTTGTTTTCATGTATTTCAGTTTTGGAGGCAGCAGAAGAGATTTTGGTTTTGGAATTGGCAAATGGGTTTGGAGTTGGTTCGTGTAGATACGAAGATTTGCAACTTGCATTAGCTTTGGCTTCTATGAGCATTGTTTTGAGGCTTTTCTTGTTGGGCATTGCGAAATATGCAATGCGAAAGAAGAGATGGGATTGGTGAGATATAGGGAAGAGAAGAGAAGTTGGTAAAGGTCCTTATTGAGCCATTTGACTTAGCGTAGGGGTGAGTTTGCGCATTAATTTCATACATTTTCTACAAGATCTCTTTTTTTTTTTTTTTTTTTTTCGTAGGGGTGAGTTTGCGCATTAATTTCAATACAATTTTCTACAACGATCCTTTTTTTTTTTTTTTTTTTTTTTTTTTTTGACTTTTATGTTTATCTCTAACCTAATCTGATGACAACATTGTTTTTCTTCATATAATGAAACTTCCCTCCCTAGGGATATGGATATTAATTAAGCTCAATTAAATAAATATAGCTTAGCGAGATAATATAGTGACGAATTAATTATACTAGGCTTGGTAAGGTGTAATCTTACATTTGATTCATCACTATTAGAGGAGTGTGCACGAGATTATAAGAATTCTAATCTATTTTTGAAAATAGTTATGAAACAAAGATTCAATATAAATATTTAATATTTTTATTCGAATTGAGTTTCAATATTATATGAGATGAGATTTATTCTTTAATAGCCGAATGCATAAATATATACTCTTGTACTTTATAGAAAAAAATCTTGTGACACCCTAAATCATACGAATTACCTATTATGCTCGTGAAGTTATAAATTTTACAAATATTGTATCTCTCTCTATACTCATAATAATATATATATGCTAACTAAAGATCAAAAACACTTAAATATATATATATAATATTATATTATATATATATATATATAATATATACTTTATATATATTGTGTTTTGGTATTTATGTACGAGATATTCAAATATATTAGTGTTTTTGGTATTTATGTACGAGATATTCACTTTTGAGATAATAATTTTCATATTTTTCAACTATCTAATAAGTGTTTAATTGATCTAATTTTAAAATTTTGAGTATTCAATAGAATAATTTTTGTAAATTGAAGTACTTAATTGATACAATTTTATAAATTGAAGTGTTCAATAGATCAAAATAAAAATTTAGGGTGCCACAAAATTTTGACATAAAGCACAGCGACAAGTACAAGATGAATTTATGCAATGGGTCATTCTTTAATTAAAATCAACTCTGCTGATCTAAAGTTTCATCACATCTCATTTTACTCTATAGCTGTTAAAATAGCTTTCTTTTAACCTAAAATTGGAGATAAGTTGATAAAATCGAATTGTAGACCATTATCCTAACATTATAAGATTCTGCACACTAAGACATAGTCTAATTGTAAGTGTATATACGGCCTGGCAATAGATCCAGTTCAAATCCCTCTCTTCCAATACTCAAAAAAATATATATATATAAGATTCTACATCTCATAAAAAAGATAATATTTGAGGTAATAAAAATAGCATTTAATAAAAATAAAAATAATAAAAGTAAACATTTAGTAATGATCTTAAATTTTTCAAATAAAGCTATGGGCGATGTTTTAAAGAACAGTATTTGTCACGCCCGACTCTAATCACTAGAGGAATTGTCCGCTTTGGCCACGGGGTTGTGCCCCGGCCAACACCTACACCCGCTCTCACGGTTTTGTCCCGCAGGTGAAATGGGAAACAGTGAAATGGGTAAACTTTCCCAGGTAGGTCATCCCCACATAGAGATTCGTTAAGCGAGCACCGCTTAAAACCTGGAGTTTCTTTCAACTCTCCAGCCATTCCACCAAAAAAGCAACTCTAATGATACTTTCCTCCTTTTTGATATATGATGATCGATTTCATTCCTGTGTCCGCATTCGATCTAACCTAAGCTAATCCTGCCATCTCTACGGATCGCTTTGCCGGGTCGGGATGTCACAAGGCCCACCAGCTTCCGCGTTGGTTCGTCCTCGATCCATCATCTAATTGGAGGGGGTCCGGCCTCTAATACTCAACTGTCAATCGCAATCCCCGATCCTTAATCACCAGAGAATTTGGGTCACTTTGGGCCAATCGCGGGTTGTGCCCCCGGCTAATCCGGCAACACATACACCCGCCTCAACGGTTTTGTCCCGCAGATGAAATGAGAAATCCTGGAGGTCACCCATCCCTAGGATTTCACTTAAGAGCGACAGAATGCTTGAACCCTAGGAGTCCTATTCTTCCTAACTCTCCAGCCATTCCACCAAATGCGCCTCTAATGATTAGTTTTCCCCTTTTCGATATATGCTTTCGAAATTCTTCATGTGTCCCGCATTCGACTACCCTAGCTAGCCATATCCATCCGAACGATCACTTCTAACTCTCCAGCCATTCCACCAAAATGCGCCTCTAATGATTAGTTTTCCCCTTTTCGATATATGATTCGATTCATTCATGTGTCCCGCATTCGACTACCCTAGCTAGCCTACCATCCTACGATCGCTTTGTTGGGTCTGGATGTCACAGTATTGGTCATGTTGTTTGTATTTTCTGTCAATCAGTTGGGATACTAGACTCTAATGAGATTGAACTCTTTGTTATTTTCACAGCAGTTGAGATGTTTTGCAATTCAGATTTTAAAACATTTCCATCGATTGTGGAATCTGATTCTAGAAATGCATTATGTTGGATAATTTATAAAATAAGAGGTCATAGAAGTGGTAGAAAAAATTTAATAAGTTTGAACAAATTATTTCACAAATTGATGTAAGACAATTTGTTCAAATTGAAAGAAGTGGAGATCATTTTGCATATATATTGGCGAAGAAAGGTATTGGAACTGAATTTTCTCATTTTTGGCATGGTTTTAATTGACATGATGTTTGGACTTTTGTTGATTTTTTATTTTCATTTTGCTCTATTCTAGTTTTCATCTCTTACCTAAAGAGAGGTTCTCTAGTTTTCTCTATGTATAAATTTTTCTTATCAATTATGAGCATTAGGTTTTTTAGGTGTATTAGAAAAAAAAAACTTGTTGGCTTAGGTTTAGTTTCGCTCGAATTTGGTAAGTTTTTTCCTTTTTTTATTATTATCTAATAAAATTGATTTGATTGCTGATAAAAAAATAACGGATTCATAGTTAGAATTCTTTGATTTACTATTATTTTTCTTTTATTCAGGTTTATATTTAGAAATTTTGTTTAATTGCAATCAATAACTATAACAACTTATCTTTTTTTATTAAAAAATTAAATAAAGATATGAGAAAATCTAAATTAATCCCTTACTTGAATTTCACTTTTGTCCCATCAACTCAAATTTCCATTGTCTCGTTCCAAATAAAAACTGAAGCTTCATTTTTAAGACTCAAATTTCCTAAGCGTTTTTTTTTTCTTTGATATCCAATCCATTTAAATCTATAAAATATGAAATTTTTAAGTAAAAAATTAATTTGAATCTATTAATAAATGTAAAAGAAAATGCTTATTTATTGATATCTAGTGAAGTGCAAATTTGTGGGTATTTACGTGTACAAAAGGTTTGAAACAACGGTTGGTAAAAGAATTTCAGTCTTGAAACGTTGTATTGAATGAGGTACTTATTAACACTCCGATGCTTAAGTTAATAATAAATAATAAAGGATTATAGAAATTTCCGTATTCCACGTTTACTGTATCTCAAGAGCTAACTTAATTCTGCTGAATTTCATTCATTGTGGAGCTAATTTTGCTTAGTCGTGTTGGCTCTGTTTTTTTAATTTTTGTATTTCTTTCTCCTTTTTACGATGTTATTACTTAAATTAAAATATAAAAATATAGTTTTTTACACAAACGAATTTGTATAAGATAAAATTTTGAAAATTTAATCTCATATAAAGTTAACCATAATTTTATAGAAATATAAAAGAAGAAAAATTACTATATATCATGAATAAATTTTTATTTTAGATAAGGGAAATAATGCTTATCTTACCACTTGAACTTGAAAAATACATGATTTTACCTAAATAGCCAAATTTTTATAAAAAATAAAATTAATTTATAAAATTTATTAGTTAAAAATATTAAATATTTTTAGAAATTTTATTTTTTAAAAAATATTTTTATTAGTATTTTAAAAAACAAATTTTTTATTAGTTAAAAATATTAAAACATTATTTTTTTTTTTAATAATTGGCTTCCAGATTTTTTAATGCAAGTTTAAAAGGAACATTGTATAAAAAGTTAATTTTTGAGTAAACGACGCATTATTGCTTGATATAATACGGTTCTAAACGAAATAAAGTGCTTAATTTGCCTCTACAAAATTATACCTATAAGGCTATACAAGTAATTTGGTCCTTTTGTACTCCATTTGGTTTGCGGTCAAAAGTTATCCGCCACGCGAATGTGTCTCTTCGCTCATGTTGCTACTTGGCAATTTACTCGACCATAGGTTTCCAAATGGCTTAGAAAGATAAAATGACCAAAATGACCCTTAAAGTTGATCAATTTGCTGAGCTTCTCCATGCCACAAGATACAATATATTAGCAAAAATAATGTGTACTTTTTTTGGATACAACAAAATAAATTAGCTATTCAATGAGGAATGAAATGTGTAGTTGGCAGGATAAGCGTAATTAAGAGTTGTGAGGTTATTATTGTCATAGAAGTCCTATTTCTTTTCCTTTCATTTCATGAACTTTGTTGCTTGGTTTTAAAGATAAAACTGTTCCTTTCCAAGTTAAAAATTGATAATTGGGAAGATGTATGTTTAGGCATAGACAGTACCTATTTTGCTAATTAATATCAATGGCAACAACCGTACATTTCTCTCCTTTCTTTTGTGCTGCTTTCTCGAGCAACAAAAACTTGAACAAGTGCTGTTTTGGTTCTGTTGAAGCACGCAAATCTAGTTTCAGAAGCTTCAAGGCGAGAGCCATTAAAGAGAAAACAGAAGAGAGGAAAAATCCACAATCATCATCTTCTTCTTCAGCTGAAGAAATTGCCAAAAAGTATGGTCTGGAAGCTGGTCTGTGGAAGGTATCCAATTTTCTAAAAATATTTGCTTTTGATTATGTTTCCTAATTGGAGAAATTGATAATTTTATATAATATCACGAGGATGAAGATATTCAGCACAAAAGAGGAACAAGATGGAGAGGAAAAGAAATCAAAGGGTGAGCAAGCAAAGGAGCTGCTAGCAAAATATGGAGGAGCATACCTGGCCACATCAATTACTCTCTCCTTAATCTCCTTTTCTCTCTGTTATGCACTCATTAGCGCAGGCATTGATGTCCAAGCTTTGCTGCAAAAGGTCAGGCTGAGTTTTAATTTTAATTAATTTCTATCTTCTGCACATAGCAAACCAGTAATTTATCATTAATTAACGGTTTTCAGGTGGGAATTTCAACTGACGAGGCTGGGGAGAAAGTTGGGACCTTTGCTTTGGCGTATGCTGCGCATAAGGCTGCATCTCCAATTAGGTTTCCTCCAACTGTAGCTCTCACTCCCGTTGTTGCTTCTTGGATTGGAAAGAAAGTTGATCAAGACAAGTAACTCACCTTCAAGTTACTTTTTTTTTTTTTTTTTTTTTTTTTTTTTTTTTTTTTTTTAGGTAGCATCTCTAATTAGGTTTCCTCCAAACGTAAGCTACTCACACACCGTATGTTGCTTTCTTGGATTGGGAAAGAAAGTTAGATTCAAATGACAAGTACATCACCTTCAAGTTTATTTTTTTTTTTTATTTTTTTTTCTATTTTTTTTTTTCTCTTAGAGAAAGTTACGTATTTTATTTTTTTTTTTTTTTTTTTTTCTATTTTTTTTTTTTTTAGAGAATGTAAGTATTTTATTTGTAAAATCTACTTTTGATTTGGAAAACTTGAACTGAGCCAAGCCATTTAATGCCCTTTGTTTGCAATTCAAGAGTTGAAGCTTGAGGAAGGTTGCAATATCATAATTTCTGATAAATGACACACTTCACATCATGATTGAGATCAAATATTTGCTATCACATAATTCTATATCTTACATCATTTTACAGACTGACCACATGCCAAGCCAAGGTACTGAGAGTATAACAAAGCTGAAATTGCAGTAGTATACAAGGATGAGCACAAAAATTACATTATTGACCTGGTATCTTCCAGGGTTACATGGATTTGCATATCTTACTTGACCAAGCTGTACAATGCACGAGCTACTTCCTATTTTTCAGTTAGTTCCTCTGAGGGACTTGAAAGGAACATTTATGATGCAACTCCCAGGAACCACCAATCCGACCTTCAGAGCATTCATAATGCTCAGGAGATGCTTAGGCATCATATCTTCTCGAGTCTCGACAAAAAGAAAATAAAAAGCCCCTGTTATCCGTCTCTACTCATACACATTTTTACATATTAGCCTGCAGTAGTATTAGCATTTGGAGGCACTTCCGCTGGATTCAGTGGTGGAGTTTGGGGCTGAGGTGTGCTGACATTTGCCATGCCATAGTCATCTTGAAGTGTACCAAACTCATTCCACTCAACTCCAGCTATAGTTGAGTCAGGGAATTCAGAAATTAATCCTCAGCATATGAAGTTAGCACAACATTTATGTAAACAGAGTAATATTTTAAGGATACGTTCAGTTCGCCACATGTCTGTGATGCTAACATCAGCATCTGAAAGAAGCCAGTAATCTGCATCACTCTGCAAAGAAACAAAATAAGAATGCTCAATTTAAAGATTTTCCAAAACAGAAAATACCTTGCCATTGAATCATGAACTATTCTCCCACTGACTTAGTGCTCATCTATTCTTTAGACTTATTTGTCTATTATTGAGACGATCATTCAGAATCAGAACATATGCTCATCCTTGTAAGATTTCTTGACATGTTCAAGGAACATAAGACATTAAAAATTGCATACATGAAAGACATGAGATCAAATAACAAAACAAACTTACATCTACTTCTGAAGGAACAATCTTCATAAGCCCACTCACAAAGTCCTGAGAGGTGGTGAGATCTGAGCACATTCTATTAGAATCTTGTCCTTGCATTTCAATCTCCTTTCCTCTACTCTCTCCTGGGATCATTGTAGTGTCCATATTTTCATTAAATCCTGAACTTGATGGATAGTTTGGAGGTGGCTCAACACCTTGAATCTCTTCAAATTTCTCCTCAAATTGACTAAGATAACAGGAGACAGAGAGATGGAGATCAGGAAAATTATTTATAAATTCATTATACATGACCATTCCATTAATCTGGAGGTTTAGTCTCATCAGCTAGATAAAACAAACAAAGAAGTAACAGTACCTAACAAGATAAACATCTATGGGACCCATCGTACTTCTAAGAACTATCCTGTATCTCCTCTGAGGGTAGTCAACAGCCTGCTGCAGAAAGGAAAGCCTATGAGGAGTATGCATGAACAAAAATAATCCGTAAATTTTCCTTGATTGACTGCATTTGGGAGTACCTCATCAGGATCTGGGACTTCCAGAGTGGTTCCATGTGGAGCTTTAATTGCTATTAATGTTTCGTTCTATTAAAAACAATATACTTAATTATTAACAAGGAGAAATTGTATTTGAAAACGCAAGAATAATCCTATCATCAAGTCAAAAACTCATGATGATGAAGCAAGAAAAGGAACCAACCTGGAGAGAGGGTAAGCTCTTGATGTCTTCCTCAGTGACAAAAAGCCACCTAAGATGTTCAAAACACAGGATCGGCTGATTTCATCAGTTAAAACAATAACTGTAGTGTAAGCAAATTAATTTTGGTGGAAACAACAGGAGAAAATTTTACTTTTGATTATTTTCATCTTCACTGAGATCCCTTAATCGTTCTTGCATCTCTCTGCAATGTTTTTGAACCATCAGCACAAATCAAAAGTTGTAAATAAATACATAAGAGGGTTGCATAAGCAGAAGGAAAGATTATACAACCTTATTTGTTCATCTAATCTGCGTTCCTGAAGGTTAAGGTTTTCAACTTCTGCCTGCAAGAGAAAAATTCATTGATAAAAAAGGGAAGGGAAAACTTTAATGCTTCTTGTTATCAATAGAATATTATCACCATTTTTCAACATGGCATAGCGAATGCTATTCAACTCGGCCACTCTAAATATTTGTAGATTTAAATTTAATTCATTAATGACACGATGGCCAATGACAAGAGGGACCCTAACACAATCGAATAGGCACATTTAACAGCAAACTCTGAGGGTCGCATTTCAAACAGTAAAATTTATGCTACAGTCTTGCATCAAGAAAAATTAAAATTGGTTTTCCATGATAAAAGAACTTATAATCCAGAATGGAACTATAATTCCTGCTGAGTTTTTTCTGGAAATATTTCAACCACAAAAAATAAAATGAAAAGAAATACGAGAACATATATAAATGTCAAGTACACACACATACCAAGAAGCAAGTTGTCAAATAACACATACCTGCAAACTAGCAACATTATCATCTGCTTCTCCTGGCCTTGAGACATCAAGTCCCCTGATATTAATCATTCAGTCAGTTACTTATCAAGTACAAAATTAATTAACAACAACTCATAATAACTAATTTTAGATAGAAATTGAGATCTAATGCAGAAAAAAGAAGTGAAAAAGAAAAGGATTAGCAGAGTTAAGCCCATACTTCCACTGAATTCTGTTCTTGAGCTTCTTTTCTATAAGACCAATTCCTTCTAGAACATTAGTTATGTCATATATCCGCCGCTTTTGCACCTGTGGAGGCAGAAAACTTTAGAATCCTATAACTTCAACTTGCAGGTAGGACTGGATGGAAACAAATATCACCTCTAAAGTGTCAGCAGCTTTATTAAGATCAAGAATACCATCTTCAGCATGTTTGATCAAATTGATGAACTTTTTTGTCAAGAGACCTAAATCAGAATCCAACAATATGCTTAATTTCTAAGATACAATTAACTCTATTCCAGAAAACCTATTTCAAACAGAAATCATAATTGTATAACAAATCTGCTTCAAAATAAATGCACAAGGCATAAAGAATGAATGTTTACCTAAGGAGCTATCATAACGGCAGGGACCAGTTGGTGTAAGATTATTTGCTGGAGAACCTGCCAATTTGCAAAACTATTCTTATTACATGCATCAACTTTGATTTCATTTTTCAGCAAGAGTTTCAGTAATGGTATGGGAGAGTGTTTCCATAAATCAGGAAGAACTTGAACATCATACCAACTAAGATGATACTCCAGACTGAAATAATCATTCACCAATAGAATAGACCATTACCACAAGTACAGGACAACACTTCTAAAATTTTACTAAGTGATACTAACCAAGACTTGATGCAGCATTCTGAGGTCCAGATTTACTGCTCTTTGAAAGCCTTGAAGTTTTGGGTACCTTTCCCCCTTTTCCAGATACAGGTGTTTGGAGAGGACTGGTAACTACTTCTGTGAATCCAGGACCAGTATTCCACTCACTAGATTCAGCTTCATGTTCTGTTGCATCACTCTTCCGCTTTAATGGCTGACAAAAACAATTTAATTTTTTTGAGACTACAATTAATAACATATGCATATCATATAATCATAAGTTAATAGAGTAATGTAAGAAATCCAGCCATGCTTAAACCATAATGAACACACATGTGCATCAACTTCAAAAGTTCTTGTTTGCATGTGCATCTGAGTACATCTTAAAGAACCAGTCTAATGTAAAAGATGCTAGTTATCTCAACTTGTTAAATGAGAAAATTCACAAAGTGAATGCATAGAGTCTCCCAGATTCTTGTAAGCTTAAAAAAAAAAAAAAAAAAAAAAAAAAAAAGTCCTCCCAGATTCTTGGTAAGCTTAAAAAAAAAAAAAAAAAAAAAAAAAAAAAAAAAAAAAAAAAAAAAACTAAAACGACAAAGCACTTCAAGGCACTAAACTCTCTGTTTCTTTCTTTCTTCTTCTTTTTGTTTTTTCCCTGTGGGGGTTGGGAGGGTGTTGGGGATAATTAAGAAATTATGAGAACAAAGTTGATATCATAATAGAAGTAATCTGGATGTCTGTGGAAACAGCTAACTAGTCATAAACTATCCACTCTTAGCCTGAGCTAATTGGTTGGCTTGGGGAAAGAAACTATGCTTGAGTCAGCGGAAATGGTTGACGACGAAGAAAATCATAGGTAGCTGCAAATACAATTCATATTCTTTCGATTATAAAAAACTTACTTAATAATAGTAATATTGCTGTTATTAATAACAATTCACAGATTTTTTGTGATAAATACACCTTGAAAACTAATCCAAGAAAAAGGTAAAAACAAGTAATACACAACTTTGAAGGGCTTCTAAAAAAGTACAGAAGTTCAGCATTCTGAATCAAAGTTGCCAACTTTCTACAAAGGAAACCATCCAACCAGACATCTTAAGCTCTCTTTTGATGAACGTCATCTTAAAACCTGCCGTTCAACATGTAACTCTAAATAATACACTATAAATAAAAAATGATAAGTACATACATGTGTGTGTGTGGGTGAGAGAGAGAAAATATATATGCTTATATATATTCAGCAGAAGTAATGTTAAGCATTTGATTGGAGAAGACAAAGACACATCTGATAAATTTGAAAAGGAAATTTTCTCGACAAACAAACAACCATAGTTACCCTTTACTCTTTTAGCATAAATTGCTTTAATGAGTGACAAGTGGACCCAGTAGAACCAGTATAACGCAATAACAACAATAAACCAGAAGTGGTACCAGTACAATATCCCATACTCTTTACAATATCCCATACTTTTCCCAAGTACCAATGATTGCTAACCTCCACAACAATCTTGCTCAAACAGGAGACTTAATCTTAGTAATTACAAGCAGATCTATAATCATCCTATACCCATAATATACTATCAATGCGAGCAATCTGTTCAAAGCAATCCAAATTTTTTCCCCTCTCAAATAAGCACAGTACAATGGTAACAACCCTTGTAAGCTATTCAGAAAAAAAGACTAGCTTGTGTCATCTTATTGCGACAAAGAATTCCTGGCATTTTGCTACTAAATGAGGAACACACTGAGCATCTCTTGTACAACTTTAGAGAGCTGATCTGGCTAACCTTACTTAGTAAAAAACAAAAACTTAGTAAGGGGGAAAAAAGGAAAAAAATGCCAAAAATATCATTATAGACAGAGTTGGGAAAAAGTAATCCAAATAATGGTTGAATATATTGCGCTACACATGCTGCTTCAATAATGTATGAAAAAACTCCTGAAAGTTATTCATGCAAGCCTGCAATGACACGAGCTTATGGGCCAAGAACAAAAGAGATTTCACCCATGATTGCTAAGATACAAGTAATCATCCTATCATCTTAGCTTGAATAATTTCAAGGCATAATGATCATATTCCTTCAAAATTCAACATAATAAATGTGTACTTGAACAGTCACTCGAAATTTCGTGAGCATTGAAAGATCCTCAGTAAGAGAACATAGAAAAGGGATAAGAAAATGAGAGGAGAGAACATAACTAAGGTGGAGAGCATGTTAGTTGATGCTTTCACTATACTTTGCAATGTCATGGCTCAGAGGTCACCCATTCTATATCCTTCTCAAAGTATGATGGCATGATTATTTGTTAAGCAACTTCCTGGAGGAAGAAGCAAAATGCAGCAAAGAGTCATCATCTCATGTTCTTGTAGATGGTAAGTTATAAAGAGGAAATGAACTTAACAGCAAGATCGATTCGTCTTCATTCAAAACGTACATTAGCAAACAATTGGACGTGATGTGTACCCAAATTGTTGCAAAGGGCAAAAAAGCATAAACCAAACAAGTCATTTATGGAACAAGGCATAATCAAAATACAATATATTAAAGACCTAAACTTTCCAGGTCTTGACAAAATTTTGTAGCTTTCAGTGGTGAACAAAACCAAAGCGGCAACACTACTATGACAAAAAGCAAATTAGTTTTCCAAAAAGTGGAAAAGAAATTGCCAATTGAAGAAAGTATACTATATATGTTGATTTTTTAGAGAATATGGGAGAAAGGATTTTCTTTTATATCTCTGTATATTGAATAATGAGATTATATACATCCTATTTATACACAAACATCTTAACTCTAAATAGGAAAAATACAAATAAGGAAGAAGCAATATTCTCTCCTAAATAGGCTTTACAGTGATATTCCACACAAGTCAACGATATATATCAACTTCAGGTGGCCTCATGATGCAACATAAACTTGATTAATATGTATCATTTTGTGACGTGTAATTCCATATCCCATGCTACTTCCACAGTTCTGAAATAGCAATTCAATTCTAGTTGTTTTGATTCTTGAACAGTCATCATCCAAGGTTCAAAGTTTCTGCAATATGTCTATCAGTTATGAACATGCCACGAACTTAATAGGAGCACTCTACCACATACTATGGCTGAAAATGCCAGGTTCAACAACTATACTGTTTATGGATGGTTGCATTCCTAGATAAAAACTATTTCTCTGAATGCATAACCGTTCTATCACGTATACATAGAATGATATTCTTGATACAGTATGTTGTGTGTCTTGATAAATATCAGTTCCAGGTCAGACAGTGATGTCCAAAATTATACAATCAAGTTAGCTTGAGTTGATACAATAGGATTTCTTCCTAAAAATTACCGTAAGGCGTTATCTCTAATGTAAAATATCATCGTCCAATAAAAATTGCAGATGAATCTTCATAGCTATACAGTACAAGAATTGACAGGTAACATATGAGAATCATGTGTATTCTCCTGTCACATATTTATGATTTCAAGTCATGAACCAAAATACATTTTTTTCTTCCTAACTTGCAAATTCAAAAATTTGCTACATTATGAACTTCAAGAGATGAACGCCCCTAATAGAAATGGGAAGGCCCCTTTGAGATAGCCAGCAACTAAAAATCAGCCTGCAGAAAGATTTATATAGAAATAATAGAAAAGTAAAATACAAAAGAGATATCACAAACAGGTAATTTCACTTCCTCTTCATGGTCTAAGCAGCAAACCAAATATAAAATTTGTCTCACTCTCTCCCGCCCTCCATATCCATCTCTCACAAGAAAAATGACATTCTCCTTTGAGAAAGAAAAAAAACTTAAATCACTAACACATTAAACAAGCTAACGAGAATTTAGGTATTACTCCCCATTTCCACGAAAACATCACTTTCCTTCTGTTATTAATACCAGACCAAGAAATGCATGAGTATTAACTGATTTCCAAGAAATAACAGAGCTGTGGACATGAGGGAACTTGAACATTTAATGATAAAAGTCGAGTGGGACAAGGATAGAACTTCGGCTAACAGTATAAGGAAAAAAAGGAAAAACCAAAAGGATCGATAAAGATTGGCAAGGACAACCTGGATAGCATCATCAAATAAACATGAAAATTATGAGGACTTGGTATACACCGAACCCCTGATTGGAGGTAAATGAGTTTCACAATTAAGGCAAGACAGCAGAGATAACCGTCTTTAACAACAGTAAATGTCCCAACTCCCTAGGCATCTGTTATGACCTTATCATGATATATAGTTTTTCAACTATATATTTAAAGAAAACTTTTATGATCTCCAGTACAAAGGAAAACAAGCTTAGAATTTGGATTTCAGGCCCCACCAAAGATCATACTAGCATATGCAATTCAAATCCATAAGCTTATGCATCATAACCACATACATGTCTTCAAAGTGATGTTAGAATTTTTTTTTTTTTTTTTTTTTTCAAAAGTGATGTTAAGAATTTTTTTTTTTTTTTTTTTTTGCACCAACTGAGGCTTATAGCTGAAAGATCAGCCACGTCTCAAAGAATATTTTTTTTTTTTTTTTTTTGCACCACTGAGGCTTATAGCTGAAAGATCAAGCACGTCTCAAAGAAATAAATACTTCCAACATTCCGTTAAATTTGTAGGTTTTTGATTTTTCACAGGAAATAAGAAAATGATTGAATCATCTTAGTTTTAGAAAAAATAGGGATAATTGACTAATTTACCCATTTAATTAATATTCATTTAATTAAGACAAAGTTTAATCTAGACATCTAGACAAGGGTAAAGTCAGAGTAAAATAATTTTCTAAAAGTGTCATCTAAATAAAAAAAAGTCAAAACCAACAAATTTAACGGAACTGATGGATTACTGTTGAGAATCAAACACTTGCCATTTTTTCAACTCCAGTAACAACTTCAGTGCTTCCCTCCAATTATCTAGGATGTTTCAGTTTCAATCAGAAAAACTCCGCACACAGCATTGTCATTGGCATTCATACAGGATACCGAGCTCTCTTACATAATCAAGATAGTAAAGCAGTAGTTTTAAGTTTAGATATAGTTAAAAGTTAACAGAATTGAGGGGTCACAATTCAATAAGAGGAACAAAAGCACAATCTTTCGTCAAATTCTGAACAATTTAACCTAGTGTTACAAAAAAAAAATAAAAAAATGTTTTTGTCTCTTTAACCCTTCAATGTATAAATAATCAAAATGGAACCTGGGTCATCTAATACACTTAGCACCAGCTGGTTTACCCCTGAACCAAAGCAAAAACAGAAGGAATGGGAAGAAAAGAAAAGCTTTCTCATACGCTTAAGCAAAAGGTTTATAGGCCGAATTCTTGAAAGTGAGGTAAATATATCAATTCAGCAAGAAACGGCCTGAACAGCATAGAGTTCAAATTAATTCATGAAACCCACATCAAAACCCCTTAAAAAATAAAAACAAAAACTAAATTTCCACAATTATTTGACAGTAACCAAATCAAATCGTTAATATCGAGGGATAAACTGCCAGGAAGTGATAAAAATCATAAACCAACTAGATCTCCAAGATACAAAAAGCAAAATTGAAAAACCCAAACACATGGAAAAATAAAACATTAGAAAAAAACAAGCAATACTAAAATGAAATACTTACGGGAGGTTTAACAACGATGGCCTCAACTTCATGATCTGGAACTCGGCGGGGCTCATTTCCAAAGCGGTGATAGTCACCGGGAGGAAAAAACGGCGGCTTCATAGAAGAAAAAGGGAGCTGCCGTTTCAAGGTATTTTGCATGGAGCTCTGCTGCGCCTGCCTGGTGGATGGATTTGGCGGTTGCGAATTTGACATCAGAGGTAAACGAACACACAAAAAAGAACTGTAAGAGTAGAAAAATCGAAAATTCTTTCAAGGGTTTTTGGCTGCTTCAGCTAGAAAGATAGAGAGGATCTACAGAGTGAGTAGACGTGAGAAATCGCGAGAGAATGATTCGTGGAATTGGGTGAGAATCGGAAGAGATCTGTGCGTGTGTTTGGTTTGGGAGGAGAGGGAAAAAATAAATAACAAAAAAATAAAAAAGCGGGAGAGAGAAGTGAGCAGAAAACGAGGGAAGAGACGAAGGAAGGAGGGAATTTGGTTCGGATATAAGATGTGGAGGGAAGCGCTTATAGAATAAATCATAATATAAAAAAAAAATCAGAAAAATAAATAATTACTAAAAAATTAACCACCTGTGTAAGGTTAAAACTGTATACAGTTTTGGCTCTTTGAACTCTAAAAAATTTAAAAATGATTTCCTCCTTAAGTCGTAAATGATACATAATTAATACGTCTCCGTCGTAAATGTTTTTCGCGCAGTTTAAAGATAGCTAATTAAATTTGTTTAACTATATTTTTTTTATTTTTCTATATATTTTTAAACATTTAAAAATTTATATTGATAATACCTTGAAAAATTCGTAATAAAATGTTTAATTAATACAAGAATTCAAAATTAATTATCTTAATATTTTTTTTCTTTACTATTTCGTAAATTCAATTAATATCAATTATTTACAAAAATTATTATACAAGAGTATTGTAGGGAAGTGAAAAGAAAAACATTTAAAAAATATAAATGAGACCATTATTTTAAGACACCTAGAAGAAAAAGCGAGACTATAATTTTGAAACGGAGATACTAAAATATGAAAAATATAATAACTTATATACTAATATGTATTTGACTTAATATGCACATAAATTATTATTAACTTTTCAAAATTTTTTTTAAATATTGAAAGAGAAGTTCGAGTTGCATACGCATTTACATTTTCTTTATAGATATAGAAATTTTTAAAAATTCACATAAAATTTTATGGGAAATAACAATATAAGTTACACTACAAGTAATTTTTTTTTCCTTAAATTTTATTGTAAAGACTTAAAAATATAGAATGCCAACTTAAAATATTTTAAATCTAAGGGCATTGACTTTTTTTCTTTGTTCCTGTAGATTCAAGGGCATCAGGTTTAATCACTATTATGATCACATGATAAGAAAACTCCTACATATATGGCCATGTGATTTGTTATTTAAGTCATTGGTTAAAAGTATGATAATTATCTTAATCAAATGAAGTTGTCATTATTGCAATCTTGTATATTTTGAGGGTGATTATGTTTTTTGGACTTACTGACGTGGCGTGATGAGGTTGAGAGATCATGGAATACATAATGGGGACCAGGGTGTACACTAGTGCATATAAGATAAAAATAAATAAATTAAATCAATAAATAAACAAAGTGAGTGACGATTGTTTGGCGCGCATTTCCTGATTGTTTTATACCAAACTACGGCTCTTTTGATTTGTGTGGGCTGGGCCTTTTCAATCTAAATTAGGCCTAACATTAAAATTGAAGTGCAACCGTTTCAAGTTTGTATTTGGCTTTGGGTTTGACAGCATCCAACACAAAATTTTCCACTTTGCTTGTGTTGTCCTTTGGGCACATGTAAAGCTTGCTGTGACTTGTCACATTTAACGGAATTACATTCACTTTCAATTCGTTAACACAGGTAATTGAGATTGGGATCTGTTCGGACACGATTCTGGTTATCGCGATCAGTTTAGACTTGGCGGCCGGTTTCCATTCCAAGCGCAATTTCCGGTCCGATTAGTTTCTCTGCAATTCCTTGTTTTACGGCTTTTTCTTTTTCTTTTTTTCTTTTTTTTTTTTTAAATTTTTTTAACCGGAACCTGGTTTTCCAACCGGTTTGGGCTAGTCACAGCTTAGCCACCCTGTCGAGTCTTATTATTCAACATTGAAGATTGAAAAGGTGATCACTTAGGTGAAAAAAGCCAGGTTGGATCCAAACTAATTTGACAGGCACCTTGCGTATGAGTTAGATTGAAGTGATGAAGCTTCTTCTTGCTAGATTTTGACTTATTCAAGGCTTATCATCAAGAGAAAGAATCTGTTACAAATGCGTAAGGATCATGCCAATGAATGATGAGACTAAAGTTAACATTTTTTTCCAAAATATAAGTAACTTCCAAGCGCACACATACCTCTCGATTGAGACATAAAGCAAATAGGCTCTGATTCAATCATTTCAAGCAATGCATTAGAAGTTCAAGAATAAGTTTTGATTACTTTCATTCGGACATCAAAATAAGTTCCTATGCAATAACTTCTCCCTTGAAAAATATTATTTACGTTGAAACATATGGGCTAGATCAGGATCATCCAAGTCCACATCTAACCATCCATTTAACCGCATGTATTCGATATAATGATCCGGTGGTTTTATTGCACGACAATTTCTGGGAATAAAGCCATGAATCATCTCCAGATCTCGGGCAAGCCAACGAATGTAAGCCTGGTCCACTGGAGGCACAATTTTCAAGAGTATCTCCTCTCTTTCTTGCTTTACAGTCACAGGCTTGTTTCCCATGTTTAAGTGAACTTAATCTGCTTAAGAAATTGAGATTGACAAAGAAAGCAACAGCTGTAAATGATAAGGAATGCGTAAACAAAGACGAAGAAAATATAGTCATGGGTCCTTATTTCCTTGACAATATCTTAACATTATTTCTCGAATCACATCTTCAATGTACAATTGGGAAACTGTTCCTCTTGTGCGTATGGTAGAATTCAACATATTCAGAATCATATTAAAGCTAAAATTTGGTAGTAGTAACATTAAAAATCAGCACCAGTTGAATGTTACAAGTTCAAATACAGCTATAACATCTTGGTGACAGGGAGGATCCACAAAATCATGAGAACTTTTTTTTTTCCATGCATTGTACCGAAACACAATGATACTTGAAATATACATAATAAAACTCACACTTCACAGGGCTCACAAGAAAAAAGAAACAAGGGAGATTATCTATAGGCCATTCAAATAGAATCAACAAATAGACTGAAGGAAGATACTAAGAAGTGAGAGCAACAAATTACAATGAAAAATGTGATGGATAGACAAAGAAGCTTAGAGAAATGTGGAGATTATCTATAGGCCATTCAAATGAAAAACAAATGACAAGCTTACATGTTATTATTCTCAAAGAAAGAGGAGTCACACCGATGCTTTTATTTTCTTGAAAGCATGGAAAGGTATTACTAATAGAATCAGCAAAACAATATAGCAAAGTTATGAAATACCTCTTACCACAAACAATAGGCAGGATAGCAGCCATCTGCTAGACAGATGATGAAAAAAAAAAAAAAAAACAAAGCCAAAGACATAACAGCCCTCTAGTGATAAAAATATCATCACCTTTGATTAGATTTGCAGCAACAAAGAATAGCAAAACAATATGATTCATACAAAGCAAAAAAATTAATTCACCATCCCTAACAACATTAGGGTTGGCAGCTAGGTATATATCCATTGTATATTCAAAAGGACCAAATTGCAAAAATATTTGCCTTTGCAAATAATTGTATAAGACAATTTGCGAAGCCCCAAACAGAAAAAGGGATGATAGACACACTCCATAGATTGAGAACCCAGATTGGCAGCAGCAGCAAAACAAGATTTCTGGCGTTACACTACTCCAGAATCAAAATAGCAGCCAAAAAGGAATAAAGACAGCCAGAGAAACCAAATCTAGCAAACACGATCAGAATTAAGTTTAACGTAGAAAGGAAAAATCAGTCTAAAAACTACCAAATAAAAGAATCAAACTATGATAACAAAAGTTCAGAAATTCAATTTGTTTAATGAGGCTAAAGAACCCGAACCAAACTGAAAATCGGAAACATAGCTAAATGGTAATGGGTAATGGCTAAGCTCAATTTAAATAACAGAAATCGCAAATAAGAAACACAATCCAGAATTCTATAAACGTACCTTATTGACGAATGGAGCAGAATGCACAGCAGAGATGAAGCGAGGTTGAGCGTGCAAAGTTCGAGGATATTAAACTCATTTTTATTTACCAAGATAACCTCGCTTTTCTTCCGAATTACAAATATATCCAATAGCATATAAACCCCCCAGTAGCTCAAATCGCTGCCGCCTGATGTCAACCTAATTATCTCCTGCAAACATCCCGTGCACTTCCTTCGCCTTCTCGCTTCCTAACAGGTTCTTTCTACTCGTATAATTCCCTGCTTTCTTTTCTTTCTGTACTTTTGTTGCCGGAGGTTTACTATAGCGTTGGTGTTACAAAAAAAAAAAAAAAAAAAAAAAAAAAAAAAAAAAAATTTCTTTTCTGTACTTTGTTGCCGGGAGGTTTACTAATAGCGTTGGTGTTACAAAAAAAAAAAAAAAACAAAAAAAAAAAAAAAAAAAAAAAAAAAAAAAAAAAAAAAAAAGAAGCATATTCGGTAAATTGAGATCAAGGGTATTGTTTTCATTAGCTGCCATTTTAACCGATTTTGGCTAGCAATTGAAGATGATGACTTCCAGAATGTTGTTTAGGTCTGTTGGGGTTCATTTCTATGCCATTGTTACATATTCCATCTTGATTCGTCTGGGAACTCATGGCATTTTTTCTTTTTGGCCAGAGAAATTGATTGCGTTGAACCAATCTCACACAGGAGCTTCTCCTCCAGCTGATTCAGAGCTTGCAAAATGTCATCTACAGGCCCTGGACTTGAGTCTCTCGTAGATCGTATGTGAATTCTTTAACAACTTTTTTTATTGCTTTTTATATTTTCCAGTTTCTGAATGCAAAATGAAATACAATGCCCTTTTCTTTGTATTCAACTAGCCCTTGCTTGCTGATTTAGGTATAGAGGTTTAAGCATCCCTAAAATTCAAACTTTGATGCATGAAGCAATTCGAAAGCCGTGTGGTAAAATATTGTGTTATTTGGAAAGCATGTTGAACATTAAGAAATTAGTTTGAAATTTCATAAGATGATAGAATAAATTCGTAAACCAGCAATATATGAAATAAAAATATGATGGAAAAATACTGGCATGATTAATTCAGATTGAAAGCATAACTCTGATTGACATTGTTTTTACTACTACTTGACAAGAAGTATATATATATATATATATATATAGTGTTGTTTTCTCGTAAGCATGGCCTCAATGAGTTGATAAAACAGATTGCAAGTTTGGCAACATAGAAGGATGCCCAGGCACTCATGAACAGAGTTTTTTATGGTTATGGAAGTGTACTTTTTGAGGTGTTTTTCGGCTTCGTTTGCTAAACTTGCTATTTTGCTTTTTTACTATTGTATTTGAGAATAGTAAAATATTAATAAAAGAGGGAGTTTAATAATCAAAGCTTTTATATATATATGTATTCGATGGTTCACATTAATTTTGCTGAGGAAGTAGCTCAGACTATACTTCACCCTCCCTAAATGGCATTGATTTATTTAGTTTTGGGGCTCTATTCCTTTTGTTTGGCATAGTTATCCTGTAACCTTTTCCTTTTTGTACAGAAACAATTTCAGTTATCACCAATGATGGCCGCAATATAGTGGTGCGTTATAAATTTTTGGCCCTATATATTTGCATGACTTGTATCTCTTAAGTATTTCCATTTGATTTTTTTGTAGTATCATCTTAATTGTTAAGGGGGTTTCTAATTCAGGGAATCCTGAAAGGCTTTGATCAGGCCACAAATATCATCCTCGATGAATCTCATGAACGTGTTTACTCCACTAAGGTGATCCTTTGATTCATTTACCATAAAAACATATCTGGTTGATTAAATTAGGTGTTTGTTGCAGTGAATTGTTGTTGGTATTGCCTTATGAAATTCAATATAGACTCATACTTTAAATTATGTAGAGATATTTTAACTAGTTCTGTACAAGTAGAATTTCTCTATTTTGAATGGCATAATTCTAGCTACTATGAGTCTACAGTATAAGTCTATAGCTTGAACAGTTGAAGGTGATATAAAATAAAACATACTTGCACCATTAGAATGACGGTTCATTGATTTGCAGGAAGGTGTTCAACAACTTGTTCTGGGTTTGTACATAATAAGGGGTGACAACATGTAATTTCTCTTCTCATTGTTGTTTGTGTTTCATAATCTTGATGTGTCCTAAAATGGGACTTCTCATATTTTCTGATTGATTCTTACAGAAGTATTGTAGGAGAACTAGATGAGGAGCTTGATTCACATCTTGACTTGTCAAATGTAAGAGCTCATCCTCTGAAGCCTGTCATCCATTGATCAACTATGTTATTGTAGAGCAGATGACAGTACAGAATCTTACAACTTTGTTAAAAAAATATATATATTTTGCCCTTATTTTTTAAAAAATAGACTAATTTTAAGTTCCTTATACTGCATTACCTTCCATCCGTTATATTGCATTACCTTCCGTCCATATTTACAGTCAAATATGTGTAAAATGACACAATTGCCCTGATTACACCTTCTTCAAGATCTAATCCTCTCCTCCAAAACTTCTTCAAAACCCTAAATTTTAATTGGCATTAAACAAAAATATTAGACAATATTGATTGTTGACAAGAATCATCAACTCGCTGCAGTTTCCATTCTCCATGAAATAAGCATTTGTCTGCAAAAGACATTAACTATCCATACTTCTAGTTTAAACTAACCAAGGGCAACCTTCCAAAAACACTATATCATTAAACAACATTTTAACAAGAGCAAACTTCCAAAAACATTCAATAAGAACTCAAAGAATTAATCAAATAAATTGGCTTTTTGATTGCATTTTTCAGACGCTTTAGTGTATTGCCTTCTTGATCTCATAGAATTATTGGTCATGAAAGCCAGTTTTTCATAGAGAGAAATAAAAAACTATGAGTGAAGCAGTTCAAGTATTTGAGAAATGCCATCAAATAGCCTAGATATTACGAGATGAGAGGAGCTGAGTGGCTTTTTGATGTGTTCATCGTAGAAACTTTATTTTTTTCAAACGATTTGCAGTTTGAAGAGAGGAAGGAGAATATGGTATTTTAGTAAAAAAAATTCTCTATTTTTGCGGTAAGTATAATACTTGATTTGAGTTTTTAAATTCATGATTGTTGTCTTTGTTTTTTTTTTTTTTTTTTTTATTTTTATTCTTCTTTGTTATGTTATACTAGGTTTTTTTTTTTTTTTTTTTTTTTTATTCTTCTTTGTTTATGTTATACTAGTACTAAGAACATGCTTTGCAAATTAAAACTCGTTATACTTATTTATTTATTTTTTTTTTGAAATATAGTTTATTATTTTTATAATATAATAAAAATGATAATAAATTATTAAATAAAAAAGAATATATTAATTAGGTGTTTTTTTGTTTTATTGTAGATATTATAATATGTATGTAGAAAAAATAAATGAATAGTAAGAAAAAATGGAATGAAAAAATAAAGTTTTATGATTGAAACGATATGGAAAGTAAAAATAATTATAACTCAAGCAAAATAATATCTTTAAAATTAAGAAATAAAATGATAAAAAGAAAATTCTTTGACATAAACTAACAACAAACCCTATAGCTAAAGAAAAATAAAATTTTTATGCTGAGTTTTTCTATAAGTATATTTTAATAAGATTCCTAATTAAGTTATATTATAATTCATAAATTATTCACAATTAAATTATTACTCCTTCGTCTTATATTCAACTATTGAAAGTACAATAATAAATTTAAATAATAAGTATCAATTTTTTAATTATGTTAATTGAATTATTTTTTTATTTTTTTAGAATTGTACATTATAAGAGTGAGTTAACATAGCTAAGTTAATCATAGATAACAATTTACCATTTATTATTAAATCATTTCATTATTATGTTAATAGTTTTATTTCAACTATTTTTAATTTTTTTAGTAATTTAAATTAATATAAAATAAGTTTATATAATTCTTTGTCAATTGAGTTAAAATATTTGACATATACTTCATATTTCTTAATTGCATGTTTAACTTTATTTGATAATTGGTTTTTATTTTGGGGTCAGTATAAAAAAAATTTTCAATTTTCAATTTTTATATTTTCTAGTTTAATATGTTTAATTGAATAGTGTTAACCAATCTAATTAAAAATTATTATATGACTTTAATCAATTAATAAATAAAATTTGAAATTTAAATACATGCAAAAAAAATTATGATTTATTATTATATTACAATTTGAATATTAGAATTCTAATGGCAACCTTGCTACCCTCGAATACTTGAACTAAAAAAATAAAAAATAAAAGATATTATCTTGACAAATATTAATCTTACAATTCAAATAAAATTTGAACTTTTATTAATAAAATATAAAATAAAAGGAACAAGAAAAGAGAAAATGATGCAAAAGAAGTTATGGATTTTGGTTATAACCTTAGCAACGGATAAAAATTTCATTGCTAAACCATTTGTAGAACCCTTTATCAACCCTCAGCAAAGGAAGAAGAATGAAACATAATTTGTTAGTTAATAAAAAGCAATTTAGGTTATAACTTTAGAAACAGGAAAATATTCCGTTGCTAACCTGTTTGTAAAAAAAAAATGAAACAAGATTTGTTAATTAATTAAAATGATCTAATTAAGGAAACTAATATAATTAAAAATTATTATATAATTTTAATCAATCAATAAAATTAAAAATTTTTCTAATTAGAATAAGACTAAATTATCCTTAATAATATTTTTAATCACTCATTAAAATTCAAAATCTCAGAGGTACTTATTGTAAGAAAAAAATATGATTGTAAATTCAGTAATTTCAAATTAGCAAAAGCTTGATATAATAATTCTTGATAGTAAAAAGCAATAAATTCTTGATAGCCAAATGCAATTAAAACTATATATATATATATATAATACAACAAATTCCTAATTAGAATGTGATTAAATTTAAGAATGTGATTAAATTTATAATTATTAATATAAAATAAAAATAAATTCATATTGAGGAGCGATTTATTTTCGATCTTTCCATAAAGGAAATTAATATAATAAAAATAATAAATTCATATTGAGGATGCGATTATTTTCGATCTTTCCATAAAAGGAAAATAAAAATGGGCTTGGTTAATTTATTCAATAAAGCGGTTTTCTTTTATTAAACCCGTTTATTAATCCTCAAAAATGGTGATCCTTTTGAAAAATGGATTGTAAAAAAATCTCTTACATTGGTAAGAGTTTTAATTTTAGGAGTCGGCCACCCTTTTTAGAGAAAATTCTCGAATCAGTTGATTCCAAAGAATAGACTAAATTGATTTTAAACCAGAAATAGGGTTCGGGAGTTAGGTACGATACTGGGAAGGTGTTAGGCACCCATATCATCCGGTTGAACCAGCCTCCTTGTTATGCAATAATTCATAATGATTTAATAACAAGATTAACTGAAATTGAGATGTAAAATGATTTTTATTTAATTTTTCAAAAAATTGTCAAACAAACATGCAAACCATATCATACATTATACATAAAATTAAATTATCTACAAGAAATGGGAAGGGGGGGGGGGAAAGGGAAGGAGAAAAGCTTACAACTGGTCTCCTAAAATACATTCTACCCACACTCCATTAAAATTTTCTAACCAATAATTACAAGCAAGCAATTATTAGGAATGCATTTAGGACCCTTTATATTTGGCCAATATAAAACAAAACTAAAGTGATAAAAAAGACACTCATAGTCATAGAACATAAACACAACATATATGGAATTCATAGAATCATAAAACATTCATTCGTTCAACTCTTGATTAAAATGATGCATGTTTATGTTAAAGGTTAATGTATAATGGGTTGATGCAACAATAATCATGACATAATGAATAAAAGGGCATAAATTTATTGGACAAGATATTAAAAGTGCTTAAAAGTAAATGATGTTAAATTAAAAGCAATAGATTAAACATTAAGATAAGATTAGAGTTCAAGATCTTGATGTTCATCATGGATGATGAACAAATACATCCATCACTACTCTAAATCTTGTTTATTGATATTTATTCAATCCATTTATAGACAAAAATGCATTCCAGATCAATAAAGTCTGACGCTTTGCCACTGGATCTCTGAATCGGGTCCATTTTAATGTTATTTATCAATCTAGATTTTTGAAATGAAGTGCCTGGCACCACAAGAGAAGTGGCATGTGCCACATGCAGTGGCGCTAGGCACTTTTTCTGATTAGGAAAGTCATAGGTTGAAATAGAGCTTAAAGGGGCACGCCTGTGGGGAAGTGGCATGAGCCACTTGCTTGTGGTGCACGCCACACATAGTGGCTTGCCCACTGTGGTTCTCAACATGCCACTTTAGCATAGACTTCCTCTTTTTAGTTGATCCCGGGTTTCCCTTACAACCAGGTTTAAGATTAGTGATTTATCTCCAAAATAAAGAGAAAAAAAAGGAGAAAGTGATTAATGGCTCTCAGAAACTACCTTTTTGAAGATTTCCAAAGATTTTATGTGAGAATGGATAAAAGAAACCCAAAAGTTGAGTTTTTGATCCAAAATCCGAGTTTGAGATTAAATGAACGTTTTTATGGACTTTTCAATAAATACATAGGGATTCTATAATCAAAAGATGGATGATGACAATTTAGATCAAAGAGAAAACACAAGTTTTTCTTTAATTCTTGGTTGAGTTTTGAAAATGGTAGAGTTTCCCCAAAAGTCCCCTTTTACACAATTCCTAATACCCTATTTATAGGCAAATGAGAATGTGTTGCCCTATTTTAGGGTTTATGTGGCAAAATGCCAATGTTGGGCCCCAAAATTAGGTCGGGCCTATTTTTATAAAAAATGGACCGGGTGGCACCAAAATGAGGCCGTGCATCGAAAAGTGTGCCAGGCGGGCCATAAGCGCTTCTTTGGCCCGTTTCGTTGCGAAATGCCTGGTGATCCGAAAAAGTAAAAATGGTCAAACACATGTATTATCTTAGCCACGGACCATTGGTTCGAAAATTGGAATGATCGGGAATGTTAAAAACGGTTTATCATCACTGAGCCATTATGGGCAAAATTTGAGCATCTACAGTTTGCCCCCACTTTAATGATATATGCTTTTTGAGCAAAATGTCACCAAAGTGTAAAGTAGACGTGTAAGTAAGAAATACTTGATAGTTGCTAAGCTGGCATGTTTGGTTGAGACAGGGTGGATGTCCTTTGGATGGGATTTGTGTTCTATGAACGACTTAGACAGATGAAGTGCACCATTTTGGCGGCTTTGCTGATGTGAGGTGCCATTTTGGCAGTTTTAACTGAAATGCTCCGCCTTGGGAGGTTTGTCGCTGAGGACATGGAATGCAGATGAACTGCGCTACAGTGATTGTTGGTGGCTCCAATGGGTGTGTGCCTTCTTTGAAGTGCCTAGGTGCACTACC